TTTAACTTATTCTTCCCCTCCCTCCTCTCTCTCCTCTCTCTCTCTTCTCTCTCTCTCTCTCTTCTTTCTTTTCTTTCTCCAAGTTCGAAAAAATATCGAGAACGGAGGATTGTTTTCATGCTCGTTTCGTACACGCGCCTTGGATCATCATGACTTCGATGTTCTACGCGTGGATCGATTTCTTTTTTTTTTTTCTTCCTTTTTTTCTTCCTTCTCCTCCGTAATTATAACATCGGACGAGAGTGCGTTGCGAATTCGTGGCGTGAGCTTGCGTGCATCTTGTTGTGCGGCGCGACAGAGTTCGAGGGGAGGGGAAGGGAGGAGGAGGAGGGTATTAAGTATAACATATAAAGGGAATCCTTCTGGTGAAAATTGTCTGCGGGGAGGGCGAGGAGGAAGGGAAGGAGAAGGGAGGGTTGAACGAACAAGCGAGAGGAATTTCACGTGGGATATCGAATCTCTTCGCGAGCGTTCAATCTGTTAGTGCAATAAATAAAGATGCATTTTTTCTCACGTATCTTTTTCGAAGGAAAACACATGGATGGGCGGGCGGGCGGGCGGGCGACGAATATACAAACAAGACAAAGAGTAACAAAGATTCGCGAGGGAGGGGGGGGGGAGAGGGGGAGAACGAAAATAAGAACGAAAATAAAGTCGAAGAAAAAAAAAAAAAAAAAGAAGAATCGAGACAAACAGGAGAGACGAGTAACGGATAATAAATAATATGCGATGCGAGGAATAAAAGAAGAAAGAAAAGAAAAAAAAATTATCAGACGGTGTATACGATACATCTGTCCGTTCTTGTTCTCTACGAGTTGTTTCTTAATATGAACTGAGGACGAATTGAGAGGGAAATAAATAATACGAGTTATCACAAAGAAATGCAGTTTATTTACCACACCAACAAACTGACGCAAACCTATTCACTAGGAAAAAAGAGTACAAAAATTTCAATGATGCGAAAATGTGGTAGCGACGGTGGTAGCGAGAATGGCTGGTCACCAAATGTTACAAAAACGCGTCACGTCTCTTGGTTTTGCGCGATCGAACGAAAATCAATATGTTTGTGACGTGCCATTAGCGCGACCGTGTATCGTGTATGGGAACGATTTCAGAAGCGATTCACTCCGGTATGGATTTAAGCTGCTTTTACGCGAGGACGTGGTATCCTTTACCACGCTTAATTTTGCCGATTTGCGATTGAATTATGCGTTATTATTCCCTTTTTTTTCTTTCTTTCTTTTTTTCTTCTTCTTTTTTTCCCTCCCCCTTTGATTCGCGTTTTCTAAGAAGCTACGTGTATTGAGCAATGCAAGGGAGATTATAATGATCAACGATCAAGGAACAAAAAAGTTTACATTTACGATCGTACGTACGATTATCACAATATATAAAATGCAAGTATTTCACCATACAGTAATTACGCGATAAATCGAAATTAATTCTCTACTACTCCGTTTCTCTCTTAAATCATTTTCATTCTTCGAATTTTTTGCGATGTGTATGCATGTATGTATGTATGCATGATCGATGGAAATATCGAATCGATGGAAATTGTTAGAAAGAGAAGAAAAAGATGATCCAGAGGCAGCAGTCTCGCGATAGATAAGATACGCGACGAATAAATAAAATCGATCGTGCGACGACCGTGCACGATCGAGATCCAGGTAAACGAACGTTTCTGGAGCAAAGCGTCCGAGGAATTCCATTCTTTACCACTACGCTCGATACTCGTGCGATATCGGTGTGTTTTTCCTTTCATGCTTGGGAACAAAACGTTCCACGAGCCGGCGTCCATTCTTGGCACGAGAGCAACGAGAAAACCGAGAAGCGAACGAACGCGAGGATAAAAATAACGGAAACTGAAAAAAAAAAAGAAAAAAGAAAAAAAAGAAAAGAAGAATAAGAGAGTAGAAACTGCTGCATCGGATCTCTCGGTATCGAGGCAGTCTCGTCTGTATCCGTGAGAGCGGTCAATTGCAGTCTTTTTTACGACTAACACCGACGAACAACGAACAAAAAACAAAAAGAAGGCGAGAACGTGGGCTAGTGTAAATACGAGAAGAGTGAGAGATTTGGCAAAAAAAGAAAAAAAAAAAAGAAGAGGGGGTACCACGTGTAGTAGAACGGGTTACAGGAACAGATTGATTAGAACGCTGTAACACAGTACGGACACACAGAAAACGGTGGTTACCATTTGCATCGGTATAGTGATATCGACACCAGGCGTGTCCTCGTGCTCGTTGCAATTGCTTTCGGTCTCTTTAGATTGGGTAGCGTTCGCGACTAATGCACCGTTCTCAACCACGTTAGTTCTCGCCACGAGGTCGGTCGTTTGGGAACGAATCGTGCTCAGCGTCTCATCCACGCTTTCCCCCTCTTTCCCGTTCGACGAGTCGTTCACCTTGTTTAGAATCACCCACCCGTTCTCGTCGCCGGTCCACGAGTCGTTCTCCGCCCCGATCCCACCTTTCCCACTCTCCTCCGCCGTCGATGATGAGCCGTCGCGATTCAATCTCCCGTCCTCCTCGATACTCACTTCGTTTCTCCGCCTCGTTGAATTTTCCATCGGCGAAACGGCCCTCTCCGACTCGCTCTCCGATTCATCGGACACCATCCAACCGTTCTTCCCGATGCTACTCTCCCCCCCGTACTTCCCCCCTCCGCTCCTCGATAAACTTTGCGACGCGACGTTTCCACTATTCGTTTCCTCGAACCTGTCTCCGGAACCTGTCTCGCGTTTCTCCTCGTTCGAGCTCGCCCGCTCTTCGAAACCGTTTTTCTTCGAGCCGACCGCTCGAGCCGGCTTCTCCAGATCCTGATCGGTAATCACCCATCCGTTATCGTCGAACAACTCCTCGACACTCTTCTCCTCCAGTATGGAGGAGCTTCGCCTCTTCACCCCGGCATCCTCGTATCCGCCGTAACTCGTATCCAAATGAGAATTGGACGGTGCGACATCGGTATACGTCCGGTGATCAATCGATTCGCTCGATTCCTCCTCGCTGGAATCGTTTTTCTTCTCGCCATGAACCGTCCTCCTATCCCTTATGTTGCTGTTCTCGTCCCTGTTCGACTCGTCCTCGTCGCAGCTTTCCACGCTGCTCTCCGGCGAGTCAGCGGCGACGAGGTGGAGATCGGCCGTCGTGGAATCGGCGGTCTCGTGGTTATCAGCTGCTGCTGCTGGCCGGGCGAACGACCTTCCCCGATCGATCCAACGAAGATCGGGCAACGAAGAGTTCACGTCGTTCCCCGAACGACCTTCCGTTAACGGGGGTTGGTCGAGCCGAGAACTATCATCGTCGTAACCGCTACCTTCGAAGAGACCCTCGAATCGGACAGTAGTCGCGGAGGAGGAGGAGGATGAGGTGGTGATGGTTTCGTCGGTGTCCGTACTATCGTCCGTGCGGTTTCGTTTGTTCGACTGCGGTTTAACCATCGCACCGTGAATATCGTAATCCGCGCTCTTAGCCGCGATTTCGTAATCCTCGACACGGTCGACGGTTGACGGTTCATCGTGTTCGTCACTAAACGTCCTAAAACGATTACGGTCGTGGGGGTTATTGGAATTAGAAAGACTGGCCTGATGAGTCTGACCGTGATCCACGTGTGCTACGAACCTGCTGGTGTAGCCGGCCGGCGTCGTCGCGCCGCTCGTTGTCGTCGTCGTCGTCGTCGCTGTCGGGTTGATCGTCGTCACCGAATGCGCGGGACTTCCTCTCGGCGACGAATACCTGAGACACGATATTCATCCCTCGATATTCTAGTTCAATCTAAGTTTCGCGATTCTTCTCCATCCATCCATCCATCCGCGTCGCTCCTCGCGCGAGATACTCTTCGATCTCATCGAACCTGATGATTCTGCGCTCGATTCTACCCCCTCCTTCCCTCCTCCCCCCCCTCTTTTTTTTCTTTGACACGCGAGAAATTGGATCGATTTGAATCGCTTCGAAAAGTTGATCGAAGTTAATCGAAGTCGGAATTACCGCCGAAATCGTTCGTCGTTCGTTATATATCGATTTTTTCCGTTTTTTCCCCTCCTCCCTTTCCTTCTTCCATTTCATCGCAACAGAGAAAAAGACGACGTGATGCGAAAGAAAAAGAAAAAGAAAAAAAAAAAAAGAAGAAAAGATCGTTCCGTCAAAGTAGATCGACGTTCGATTCGACGCATCTGACGACCGACGATGGTATCATACACCGTACCAACCATTCGTTACGCCGATGTTACTTGTTAATAGAAATCTACCAATTTTTAAAAAAGAAAGTAGAATTAGTTATACTTGCCTGGTGGTCGGCGAGTCCTCCTTGCTGCCGCGTCTGGCCTCCGCGCTTCGAGCCAGCAGGGGTCCAATGTCCGTCCTCGCCATGGCGGAATCGTTCCTCTGACGGTCCTGCGCCGCGCTCGAGACCGTCGTCGAGGTCCCCGTGCCTGCATGGGCATCGGTTTCCGATTCCTCCTCCGTCTCGGATTCCGTCTCCTCCGATGAGCTGCTAGTTTCCTCGTCCTCGTCCTCCTCTTCTTCCTTCTTCTTTATGCCGCTCTCCTCCCGCACCGCCGGGGGCTGGGCAGGTGGCGGGGGCGCTGCACGATTACCTGAACAAATAACACGAAACAATCCGAAAAATTGAAGGATCAACATTCGTTTAAATGTTCTCGATTATCGTGGTCCGATCTTCGAGTAGTATTCGAAAATTATTCGTATATTATTGGATTGTTCACCTGTAGCTAAAAAACGGCTCTGAAAGGAGCGCGAGGTGGGGCTGGCGGTGTCTTTGGGGGTGGGGGGTGTGCCGCTATGCGGGGACGAGACGGTGGATGTCGCGCTCGAAGCCGGCGCCCTCGACAAGTATTTCTGCTTCATTTCCTCGGCGGTGAATGGTGCACCGGTGCTGCGTATTCCGGACCCTGCCGAGCTCTCCGAGCCCGTGCTCGAGTCCGATGAGGCGCTTCTCGTTGCGGGGGCGTGGGTATCCGTCGAAGTTCTCCTGCGTGTATAACGGCATATATATTTTATTAATCAACCAGTCGGTTGCTCGAGTCGGTAAACTCGATCTGTAAGTAGTTCGATCTGTGTCGGTATTCCGCCGGTAAACCGTAATTTGCGTGACCGATCGTATTATTGGTTCACGCGTTGGCGCAATAAGGAATTATGCAGCCACGATTCACCCATTTTCCTCCATCAATATTATCGCACCGTGAATTTCCAACGGAGAGAGAGAGAGAGAGAGAGAGAGAGAGAGAGAGAGAGTGGGACGCG